GTGCGCCTCCCTCAGCTCCGCTAATGACACCTTCATTACCAAGGCGATGCTTTTGAAAGAGTTAATTAGCTATCACGGTAACTCTTTTTAAATGACTAATGGCATGTCTACACCTGCTATAATTATGTCTGCCCCTGTTAATTATCAGAGGTGGCGGTAATTAGGATGAGCTGGAGACGTTCCCCGGGCAGCTCGGCCGCTGCCTGGCCGGGGCAGCTGCAGGCAGAGAGCGGGTCCCGCTTACACCGGGCGGAACAAGGAAAGGGAATTTCTGTGGGTGGCAGGGAACCGAGACAGGTGGGAGCCGCGAACACCCCGCGCCTCTAAACGCTGCCACTAATAACCATCTGCAAGTGCTAATGGTGCTCAGGATAATATCATCAAGGACACGGTGCCGCCAGGAGGTGACAAAATAATGGGTGGTTATCGTTAGCCCGATATACCCCCTAATTAGTGATGCACAGGAATTACCGCTATTATTTTCCACCGTGGCTGCAACTGCGGTGAGAGCTGAAAATCAGCTGTTGCCATAACTCTGCTCACCTCAGAGCTCACGATAAGGGCACTTTGTGGGCAGAGTGACCTGAGTTGTTTCCCTGCGAGCAGAGCCCTTCAACTCCAGCTGCCAGGGACCATTCCAGGTACAAAACATAAGGGAAAACCTTCTTCATGCAAACTTAATAATAATAATCAACAACCTACCACAATGCACACCACCAGCAGGATCCAGCCCCTAGAGCAGGCTGAATTGGTTGTATGTTCAATAAACCAAGCAAAAATAACTTTATATTTTATAAATTCTTTAAGCAGCAAAACCCTAACAATTTTTATTTAAAACATGGCCATTGCTGTAGAACTGCTCTGAAAACAATCCAATCCTCTGGGTAACAGCCATCAAGGCACTGAGCAACATTCTCTCCTGATGTCAGCTTATTCCACATTATTGCTGGAAGCTCATTAATTTCTAGGTGCTCTATTTTTTAAGTTGTGACCTGCTGTACCTTAATGAGTATTACATGTTATTCTGATGTCCTTTGTTTCTTGTTTCTCCACAGTGAAAATGGGAGCCCGGCATAATAAATGAGAAAATGATGAAAACTTCATGTACTCTGTAATTATGATAAACAGTTTTCTGCAATGGAACAGCATCACCTCCGCACAGAGCAGCACCAGTTCTGGGCACCCTGGAAATGTTTGTTCTCCGATTTCTGCAGGAAAAGTGGATGTCAGTGGAGAGGCCCTCCCTGCAGCTGAGCCTGTGGCATGAGCAGGGGCTGCCCTGTGCCTGCGGGGCTGCCCGAGGGCACAGCGAGCCCCATGGCTGAGGGACAGTGGGGCACAGAGAGCCCCATGACTGATGGACAGTGGGGCTGGGCACAGTGAGCCCCATGGCTGATGGAGAGCTGGCTGCCCAAGGGCACAGAGAGCCCCATGGCCAATGGACAGCAGGGCACAGCAAACCCCATGGCTGATGGACAGTGGGGCACAGAGAGCCCCATGGCTGATGGACAGTGGGGCACAGAGAGCCCCACGGCTGATGGACAGGGCACAGCGAGCCCTATGGCCAAAGGACAGCTGGGCAGGGGCGCTGTGTCTGCAGCACAGCCACCACCAGGTCCCGATCACATCACACCGCTCTTGGTCGGAGTCTAACTCAGGTCAAACCAACACCAGGACCGGTGCTGGTGCTGCCTGGCTGGGCTCAGCCATATCACAGGCAGCAACCATTCTTAAGGTGCCCCTGCTTACAGAAATGCATGAATGTGTTTGTGTCCCCCCAAAATGGCAGTGACACAAGACATTTCTTTTTCTTTTTGTGCTTCTCAGTTCATGCATCTGCTCCTAGGGAAGGAATCAACATCTATTTGAGCACAAGTCAAGAGCACATTTTTAAAAGTAATCCATTCTCAGGCAAGTCAACAATGAGGAGCAAGGCAAGAAGCAGAAACGATTCTGTCCTCGTTCTGCACACTGCAGCCACACAAAGGGAGTGTTTGGTGGTTAAATACAGCCATTAGGAAAACGAGTGGAACGGAGCCAGCCCTGCAAGGCAGAAGGCGGGCAGCAGCTGGGAGTGGATTGCTCAAGACACGGCACAAAAAGATTTCACAGAGCCCCAGATACCCGAGCACTCACGCTGCCAGAGGGGTGCGTGCAGCCACCCGTCCGCAGGGACAGCAGGAGCCCCCCGCCACCATCCCACCAGGACAGGGGCAGGTGACACCTCCTGGGCCGAGACAGCGACAACACCTGTGCTGTCACAGTGACAACACCTGAGCTGTAATAGTGATATCTGTACTGTCACGGTGACAACACCTGTGCTGTCACAGTGACAATACCTGTGCTGTCACAGTGACAACATCTGTGCTGTCACAGTGACAACACCTGAGCTGTCACAGTGACAACACCTGAGCTGTAATAGTGATATCTGTACTGTCACAGTGACAACACCTGTGCTGCCACAGTGACAACATCTGTGCTGTCACAGTGACAACACCTGAGCTGTCAGTGACAACACCTGAGCTGTAATAGTGATATCTGTACTGTCATGGTGACAACACCTGTGCTGTCACAGTGACAACACCTGATCTGTAATAGAGATATCTGTACTGTCACGGTGACAACACCTGTGCTGCCACAGTGACAACACCTGTGCTGTCACAGTGACAACACCTGTGCTGTAATAGTGACATTTGTACTGTCACGGTGACAACACCTGTGCTGTCAGCACAGCTGGCAGCTCAGCTGAATCCCTGCACGTCCCAGCCTGGCACGTTGCCTCCAGTGGGCTCTGCCTTTTCTCCTTTAGAAATCCAGTAACTTTTTGCCCTGCTGATTCTGAAGGAATTCATCAGGCTGATGAGAGGTCACCTGATCATCCAACAGCATGTCCTGACTCAGCCTTGTTATCCCAGGCCAGCAGTTTTCCTGGGCTCAAACAAAGCCCGTGGCTGCATCCTGGGCAGTAAGCAGTGGTAAACAGTGGGGATCACTCTACCTCAGATGCACAAAGACTTTGTTTCCTCCTGAACATGCAGAGGTCACCCAAAGCAAAGGTACTCGTGGCCCCTGAGGGACGTCACCGTCACGGCTGGCGACAAACCCACAGCTGAGTCAGAGATCTGTCTTTGGGTCTGAACTGGGTTTCCTCCTTGAATTTCTGCTCCTTTGGCTTCTGCCTCTGTAAGACGAGAGCGATGCCCTGTAATCCTCCCACACACCGACACTGTTGACTGCGGCTCAGAGCCACGGGGACATTTCAGCGTACAACCTGGATTTCACTCTTTTTGTTTTCAGAGCAGAGTCGAGGCTTAGAGTCAGCCAACACTACACACCTACATCAAACAACTTAATCCCACCCAGTTCTGAACCGTGGCCACTGCTCTAGTTTATGAAAATGTTTATTTGCAGTGGTTGCAGCTTGCCCACATATATTGATTTCTCCTCCAGTTTCTGCTGGGTATTTATTCCTCCATGTTTTCCCTAGTATCTACAGAACTGACATTTACCAGAGAGGCTGAAGTTTGAAATGAGGAGCATTAACATGAAATTGCCAGAAGCATCAGCAGGCTTTGGGACTGCGTGGGGAAAGAAGCCTCTGCTGCGGGGGAAGCACGGCAGCAGCCTCGGGGTCTTGGGGACACGGGAGAGTTGCAGCCTCCGGAGCAGGAAGAACTAAGTCTTTCATCCTGAAGGACCAGAAGCAGTGAGAAGGCGCTTAGCATGATGTAGAAACAGCTCAAGCGTTTTTGACAACTGATTTCATTTTGAACACTAAATTTTACTTTGGAGACAGACTGCAAGGGCAAGGACCGGCTGGACAATTGCGCTCACTGGTCTCCTGAGCTTGTTGAGCAAAGAG